GCCCGTGGTGGCGCCCGGGCCCTCCACGGGACAAGCGGATGCGGGGCCTCGAAGGATGCCCTCGGAGGTCGCTAAGGAAACGGTGATGGAGGCGGTGCCGCTGCCGACGATGGGTAGGTCGGAGCTTCTGACCTCGCTCGTGGTGCTGACCGCGGCGGGCGCGACGTAGCCAGATGAGGACCCGTCGACGCAGGCGGAGGTGGTGGCGGCCGTGATAGGAGGGCCATAGCCAGAAGCCACTGTGGTGGCGCCTGAGGCAGCGGTGCGACCCGCACCTCCGGTGGCCCAAGTAAGGGCGCTCGACATGGGCCGGACGGAGGGGGACATGGCCGAGGGGTCCCTGGGCGTCGTGGCAGTGGTGGTGAGGACCTACGGGGAGTCGCCCCTGGCCCTAACGTCGGGAGGCAGCCACTCACCCGCGGGGGGCGAGCCTCTGCTCTAGTGGATGGATCTACAAGACCCAACATCGACACTCTTCTCCCTCGATGATGCTGTTGAGGGCATGGAGCGGGAGAGTCTCAACGAGGGTATTTTGGCCATGCTGGAAGCTCAAAACCAGGCCAGGGGTGCCCTGCGCGACGTCATGTTTCCCACTGGCCAGGTATTCACTTAATCTTGCTTTTCGCCCTCTTCGTTCTTTATGTATTTTTGTGTTCTGACCATCATCTTTTTTTAGTCCCATATCGCTCGCAGCCAGGAGAAATCCCAATTCCTTCGCGAGTAGAAGGAGAGCTGGGATCGCCTCGTCGAAGAGGCCCTGCTGCGTGGGGATGTGTCCGCCCAGCTTGTTGCCGCCCAACAGAGGGTGGCCGAGCTGACCCCCCTTGCCGAGAAGGCGGCCATTCTCCGACTACAGGAGGCCAAGGCCTATCGGCATGAGGAGGAGACCGTGAAGGCGTTCGAGGCCCTCTCGGCGAGGGCGCGACAAGAGGAGGTCGCCGCCAGAGTTAGGAGCGAGCGGGACGAGCTGCTTCAGAAGGACGCTGCGGGCCGCCAGCTAGCGGATCCTCGACCTTCTGGCTGAGACTGAAAGGGAGCGGGACTTAAAGCTAGTAGCCAAGGAGAAACTCGTAGCCGTAGAGCGGAGGGCGAGTCAGGATGCCAAGGCGATCTCCTGGCTACACAAGGAGCGAGACGAGCTGCTGCAAACCATGGGGAGACTTAGCCCAGAGCATGGTGTGGCCCGCAAGGAGCGCGACCGAGCCGTCCGAGAGCGCGACGAGGCGCAACAGAGGCTAGAGGCGTCTCCGTCGAGCTAGCCACGGAACTTGCGGAGGCAAGGAGGAACCTTCAGGCGCAGAGTGACGAGCTCGGCATCCTAAGCGCCGCCCTCGGCGTGGTCTGCGATGACCAGGAGGTGGTGCGGCCGTAGGGGACCAGTTCGCTCGTGGCCTGTGCCATTGATATCACGGCACGGGTGCGCCCTCTCGAGAGGGAAGCTCTTCGCGTCGGGATCACCCAGGCCTTCACGATTGCTCGTTCGCATTACGCGAACAACATCGACTTGGAGAAGATGCGCCTTGGTTTCGCACCTGGCTACGAAGCCTCCGAGCTGGACGAGATAGAGACGGCGGTGGCTCCTCTTACGTGGGACCTGGCGGACAGAGTTGAAGACATAGTTCTCCCCCAAAGGGGCTAGTTTGCCAAATAGATCGGATGAACACTTATTGTAATCTGTGAACAAGTGTCGACCCTTATGTATCGTAAAAACAATTTCGTCATTTTGTTTTGTTTGATCGAACTCGTTTTCTTCCTTTTTTGTATGCGAAAAAGGGGCTCACGTATTCTGACCCTTCCGTTCGTTAAGACCGTAGGGCCTGAGGTGTAAGAGGAGAACTTCGATCACACTGGTGAGCAAAGACATCGTAGCCACCGAGGCATAGGTTTTTTGCAGTCCAACTAGGCATGCTCAATTATTCATTTCCGTAAACCTTGCCACTAAAGTTAATGTGAGGAAAAGGTCTAGCATGGCGACTGTTGTAAAAAAGGGGTGTATTTATACCCTTATCAGCCCCTGAGTGAGATCCGACCCCTTGCCGTTGCTGGGGTCGAATGTCGTTGAAGGTCGAGGAGAGGATAGCAAAACTTAGTAGAAGAAAGCATCTCTTGTATTTGCACGTACCCCCTCCCTAGGATCTTAGCTATCGTTCTACGACTGTGCGTTCGGTCTCCTTGTAAGTCCAAACTTCCTTAAGCCCCCGCACGTAGCGGGGATTCGGTCGAGGGTTGGCATGTTTTTGTGACTATCACTCCGTCCACGGTTTCCGCAACCGGAGTGGTTGAGTTAACGTCACTTGCCTCGATGGCTCGAGTGACGCGCTCGATGAGCTCGCTAACGGGCATGTTTGGATGGAATCCTATTTGGTCGCTTGTGATGGGGTCGGCAAAGCCCTCCTGTGGCATTCCGTTGCTCCTTAACCCGCCTCTCCTCTCCTCTTACGTGCGAGATGAGGCCAAAAATCTGCATGATTAGCTGCATAAGCTTTGTCTCGTCAAGAAAAAAAAAATAGCATAAACTTTGAGTACTCCTATATGGTGGCAGCATGACGCCTGACATGCATGCGGGGGGTGACAATATTTTCCAACAGCACAGGAGTATGCGCATAAGTGGTGCAGTGCAGATGCCCTACTGCATGTGTACGATCCCGACATGGACTGCTGTTGACGACATAAGTGCGGTGAGACCAATGAACTTTTAGTGTGGATAGAACATGCTTTAGTGCAGATTCGTGATCAAGAACTACAGAAGTTTGGAAATATTGGGATACAGGCAAGTGGCAGCGCGGCATGCATTTCGATCGATTTGCATTGGTGCGCTGTGTAGGTGGGGTGGTAAGCTACGTGTGAGACAATACATGAGGTCTTAGGTTCGAATCTCACAGGACGTAGTGATGGGAGACATTATTTTTTTTAAAGCTGGGAGGACCTTTAGTCCCGATTGGTGTTATGCACCGAGATTAAATGAGACTTTTAGTCCCGGTTCTCGACTCGGGACTAAAGAACCCCTTTAGCCCCGGATGCTTACTTCCGGGTTGGGGAACCGAGATTAGAGGGGTTCTCCACCGGGAATAAAGGCCTTCCCTCCACTAGTGTGCAGCGCACTCTGCCTGTGATGAGTTGATTGGACGGACGAGGCGGACCTCCAACTAAACACAGCCTCAATAAGTAAGTGGCTCATTGCCGCAATTCGATCGCACCGGTCGATCGTCTCGTCTGATCCATTTCTTGGGAAAGAGTGCGTGCGTGATCGAATGGTGGCGCGCGCGGCCGGCCTTCTAGTGCGAGTGAGGTGAGGGGCCGGGCCAGCAGCCACAGTCACAGGCAGACCTTTTTTGCCACCAAAGTGAAATTTGCCTCTGGTCTCAAATGCATGCCGTTATTGCGGCACACGTTTCGGGATGCCAGAGGGAAGCGGACACTGGCATAATTGTAGCCTAAAGCAGCCATTGACAGTGACACCGTGCTTGTGACACCGCCTCACTCACAGACACTTCTGTAGACACACAGTCCGACTCCATCCCCAACAGATGTTTGGATGGAAATTGTATTGATCCATCACGAGCACGACGATATCCTTTCTCGCCTGCATATGCTTGCTGGTAAAAAGCTAGCTTGATGCATGGCCCATTGGAACCTGGGAAGCTTTATTTTTTTTCCTGATTATATATATATATATATATATATATATATATATATATATATATATATATATATATATATATATATATATATATATATTATTCACGCGGCAATTGATCAGTTGTGTCATGTACTGTATGTAGGTGAACTTCCGTGAAATTCGGTCCTGAGGTTGTAAAATACAGTAAGCTCTAAGAATAGAATAGATAGAGGTGCATGCGCTAGACGGGGAGAAACTATGATTTCATGGGATCATCGACTCATATAAGTATACATGGAGAATTATTTATTTGGCACTGAAACAAATCAGTGTTTCGTATTTAGCACTCGAAAATTTAAACTTTCTTATCTGGCATCAAGTTAAAATTTTCTTTCGTAAATGGGACTGCCGTCCATTTAGGACAGTAACGGTGTCAAGTGACTGGTAAAAAGACATGAATACCCTTGTTTGCAGTAGAAATCCACGGTGCCAAATAGAGAAGTTCAAGTATTTTCGTATGGACGATATTGCCGGAGCTCTTGCGCAGCCCCGTGCCATCGCCCTGGCGACCCGACGCATAGACCCCGTACCAACGTCCCCGCATCGCCGCCCTACCGACTGAAGGAGGCAGGACGATGGCATGTCGCTGCCCCCACGGGAGCGCCTAGCTCGCTTTGCCGCAACCTCGCTAGTGCCGCGCGCTGGTCATCGCGGTCTCCGCGTGCCGCTGTCCGCGCGAGGTCTGCCGGCACCACAGCGCCTCACCATGCACCGGCGCCGCTGTCGTGGCCCCGCACGCGAGCTCCCAGCTCGCTGCCGCACGCGAGGTCCGCTCGTGCTGCTCCCCGTGCGAGGTCTTCCCAACTCCTCGCACCAATTCCGGCTCCCAACTTGCTCCCGAATCCAAATGAGAAAAGGCTCCGCGTCTGCCAGCGCCTCGCTACGGTTTGGTTGCGCTCGTGCCCCCTGAATCCTCTGGCGTCCCGCCGCCGCCAAGGACGACGACCACGACCACGACCAGGACCCCGACGCGTCGCCATCGCTGACCGCCGGGGAGCGGTGCCCGTGCTGCTGCTCCTCCTCCTCGTCGGCCGTGCCGTGGCAGCAGTCCGTGAAGCGGAAGCTGGGCGCGGAGAAGGGGAAGGAGAGCGGGGAGGCGGGGGACGACGAGGCGGGCCCCGCGGCGCGGGTCGAGGCAGAGGACGAGTGCGCGGCGCTGCAGGAGGCGGTGGCGTCGGCGCTGCGGGCCGAGGTCAAGGAGGAGCGCCTCGCCGTGGCCAGCGCCGCCAGCGAGGCCATGGCCATGATGCTCCGCCTGCAGGGCGAGAAGGCCGAGGTCCAGATGGAGCTCCGCTAGTTCCGCCGCTTCGCCGACGAGAAGATGGCGCTCGACGCTGCCGACATCGACCAGCTCCGCGCGCTGCTCGCGCAGCGCGCGCGCCGCCTGGTGCGCCTCCGCGTGAGGCTTCGCGAGTACAGGCTGCAGTTCCTCCACCTCGGCATCCCGCTTCCCAAGGGCGAGGGCGAGGACCTCGTCACGCAGAGCGCCGCCGAGGAGGAAGAGGACGGCTACGTCGATGGCGATGGCGGGTACTACCCTGAGCTCCGCTGCAACGACGGGGAGTACTACTACGAGGACGGGCAGGAGGAAGAGGATGCGGTTGCCCTCGATCTGGAGCGCCGGATCTGCCGCCTCGAGCACGATCACAAAACTCGCCTGCTTGAGCCACCCCTTGAGGAAGAGCAAGAGGAAGGCACCCACCTCTACACAGATGAGGCGCTGCCGAACTTGTCAGGGCGTGAACGGGGTGAGGGAGAGAGGAAGGGGAGGCGATGGGAGCAACTGCGACGGCAGCGGCGGCTGCATGGGCGGCGTGAGGTAGGTAGAGGTGTAGCGGCGTCGGAGTCTTCTGTGTATAGGGGTACATCGGACACAGCGAAAAAAACTGACACGGTTGAACCAGTCAACTAACGATCGATGAAAATGGACGGCAGTGCCATTTGCGAAAGAAAATTTCAACTTTATATCAGATAAGAAAGTTTAACTTTTTAAGTGCTAAATACGAAACACTGATTTATTTCGGTGCCAAATAAATAATTCTCTCATCTATCTGTGTCTCTCTTTACCGGTTTACCGAGCCCCTACTACAGTCCTGGCAGCAACAGATTCTGGTTCAGATGCTGCTATAGCACGCGCTGCCGCTGCGGTAATGTTTGGACTGGACGGGTAGGGAGGTGTAGTAGCGCTAAAGAGTCATGGATACGTCCATCAAGCATCAACGACGACGGAGAGCCTGCAACTGGCACGGCGCATGGCAACAGTGGCCGCCGGCCACGCACGGGCATTGCCTTCCCCGGCCTGCCCGGCTGCGCCTGCCCCTGCCCCTGCCCCTGCGTGTCTGTTCCGCTTTCACTTGTCGCTATAGGTGAGCAGTGACTGATCTGAGTTTGCTACATATGGCTATCAGCCTAGTACGTGCCTGATAGCCTAGTATGTGCCGCTATGGCGTGGTGGTGGTGGTGGGTGCGCAGCGAGCGCAGGGCACACACTCCACCTACAAAGCCTACTCCTAGTACTACTGCATGCTATGCCTAAGTAGCTGCTGCTGTTGAGTGTCGCCTAGACTGCAGAGCATGCATGACCGTCCGCGAGCCACGGCCCTGCTGGCCCTTCTCTTTCCTCTCCGACGACTCTTCCTCTCACCTTCAGTCCTTCACTCGAGTTGCTGTTGGAAGCCCCGGAGGGACAATTATTTCTTGCTGGTGCTGTCATCGTCTCCCCGCTGCTAGCACTGTCTAGCGTGTGTACCCTCTGTACGCCCTCGTCACTTGCCCTACTGTTTGACCGAACCACGGCTCATCTCCCTCTCTCTCTCTCTGTCCCTTGGCCTCTCGCCCAGCTAGCGGCTCTCCTTGCTTGCACAAGCGCAAGCACGCTCCACGCATGCACATCATGGTGGCAAATATCTGCAGCTGCTGGCCAGGCCATCAGCCAGCTGCGTGCGCGCTGCCCCGGCCGCCTGCTAATAATGGTCAGACACAGATATGGGGATCTGAGCAAACGCTTTAGAGCACAGCATCTTTGTCTTTGTTTTCATGGGCTTCAATGCATGCATACTAGTAGCAGTGTCCGATATCTATATCCGGATATCCGAGCCAAAAGGTTAACTAGCGTCACATCGGCTCATTTGATGATTAAAGACGTAATTGTGTCCTTGTCCAACCCTTAAGGGCCGGGCCATGCCTCGTCCGACTCCGAGGACGAGGTTTCCGTCTCGTCCGACCCCAAGGCATGGGTTCTGACTCCTCTGACCCCAGGGTGTGGGCTCCGACTCGTCTAGCCCCACGGGGAGGGCTCCGCCTCGTCCGACCCCCGAGGGTAAGATTCCGTCTCGCTCGGCCCCAAGGGCTGGATTTTCGCCTTGCCCGTTCCCTGGGGTCGGATTTGCTACCGAACAAAAGTAGTGGCCCCAAGGTGGGCCTACGAGTGCGAGCTCACTTCAGCAACCCTCGCTTCCGAGGAGCTTGCAGCCATCGGGAAGGACATCGCTGAAGGAGCGCTCGACGCGAAGCGGGCGGGTAGATCCTTTGAGCCTACGAAGAACGTCAAGGAGGTCCTCGTCGACCTTGACAACTCCACCGACAAGACAGTGCGCATCGGCACCGCCCTCTCCCCCAAGTAGGAAGGCACGCTCATCGACTTCCTCTGCGCTAATCGAGACATCTTTGCGTGGAAACCCTCGGATATGCTGGGAATTCTGAGGGAAGTCACCGAGCATGCCTTGAAGATCAGGCCAGGTTCTAGGGTGGTCAAACAATGCCTGCGCCGCTTCAACGAGGAGAAGCGGAGGCTCATCGATGAGGAAATCGCTAAGCTCTTGGTGGCCGATTTCATCAAGGAAGTATACCACCTAGAGCGGTTGTCCAATCCTGTTCTGGTAGTAAAGAAAAGTGGGAAATGGAGAATGTGTGTTGACTACATGAGCCTTGTTGGGGATCTAATACCGGGGTACCCAAGGAGGTGGAACTAATAACCATCGAACGTTAAAAGCTCCTGACGGACAAGAGCACGGCTGCACTTCTTGCCCGAACGATGGAAGTTTTGTTCCGCCTCGCCTGAACGCCTGTGGACCCGCTCCACCTTGCTCGACGGCTGGAGGATGACTCCGCCTCGCCCGATGGCTGGAGGACAACTCACCCGACGGCTAGAGGACGACTCGCCCGACGGCTGGAGGACGACTCACCTGACCCCCAAGGGATACACTCCGCCTCACCCGACCCCTGAAGGCTGGGCTCGGCCTCGCCCAAACGACCGAGGGCCGCCTTTACCTCATCCAAACGACCGATGACGGATCTCGCCTCACCTGATATTCGGAGGCTGACTCCGTCTCACCTGACAAACCGTGTCCCACGAACCCTCATGATGACGGCTCTAGGGTAAGACGAGATGTTCGGGTCAACCACAGCATTAGACGCCATGCCCTGCACCACAGCGTCAAACATCGTGCCCTGCCCCCCTGCAAGGAAGCACTGTTAGGATGTGATAGGACAAGCGTTGGGACCTCCCCCTAGGCATGGTAGAGCCTGAACAGTGTTGCGGGCGCCTGCTCTCCGCCCTACAGTATCATAGGTGTCGCCCTCAGCCTCCGGACGAAGGACATGACATGGACATACGACAACCACGACGTCCCAATGGCCAACCAACAATCATCACGCCGTCCAACCCCCACGGGGTCGGGGCTCGACAATTCTATCCGACCAGCCGCCCGCGGGGGCGGGATGGGACGCCCCACTTGCTAAAAAAGGCCAGGGCATGGCCTACGAAGATCGACGGATACGCTACTTCTGACACAGTCTGCCGTGATAGGCAGGGCAGGCGTGGGGAAGAAGGAAGACTCGGGTCTCTCAAAGGACCTTCTACGCTCTTAGTATTTTCTCTTTTCCCCATATGTAAATGCCTGCGCCCCCCCCCTTGTCTATAAAAGGGAGGACAGGGCTCCCCACTAAAAAGGGGGGACGAGGGAGCATGCACACACGCACCGTACAACCTAACAGCAACAGAGCTCTTGGCGTTCTTTCGACTACTCCATCAGGGACTTGGGATCTCTCCCTTTCCCAACCGTTTGTACCCCCTACTACGAACCTCATTCGGTGCTAATAACACAAGCAGCAACAGACTGGACGTAGGGACATTTGGCCCAAACCAGTATAAACCTTGTGTCCATTAGTGCACCATCCGTGCCTAACGCGCATCAAGTATAAATTTACTAGTCGGTGTTTGTTCGAAACACCGACAGTTGGCGCGCTAGGTAGGGGCCTTTGCGTGTTCCAAACCAGGCCATGGATGGCTAACCACAACATTAGCTGGGTCCCAGGCGCACACGTGCATTTCGGGAACCTGGATTTCATCATCACGGTGGGAGGAGAGTTGGTACGGGCGCACACCGCCATCCGATCTCTTCCCCCCAATGGCCTTGACCATGAGAGGCTTGGGTGCCAGCTCGGCGCCTCCCTTGGACCACGGTAGTCCAGGGAGAACCAACATCGCCTTCGCCCTCGCCAACGACGATAGCATGGCGCGACCTTCTGGGGAGAGACACCTCTCTCCGGAATGCCACGTGCGGGGCGCCCCAACAGCGTTTCCGTTCGGTCTCCGCAACGCCGCGGCAACCACTAGCCACCTTATGGCGCTACGCATGGTTCAACTGCCCGCGGACAACGAGTTTGTGGGGGTAATTGAACACGACACGGAGTCTCTCCACAAGCTCCTCACTGAGGGGCCTGAATCATCCTCCAGCTCTGACTCTAGCAGGGGGAGCCATCACCCTTCCCGGGGATGCTTCATGGCAGAAACCCCCGAGGGGCACGTCGAAAGCATCTCCGAGGAGGAAACCACCCCGGCGGGCAACCCTGACGACGGGCCCGAAGAGGAGACAGCGGCCTCATCTCGCTTAAGGATGGAGCAGCTAAAAGCTCGGAAGCGAGAGATCGATGAGGCCGGACAAGGGCTCGTGCGCGAGTACGCGGAGATCAACCGCGAGATCGAACGCCGCTGAAGCGATGGGCACGCGCGCGCCACTGCCCGCAATGTACACCAGAGGATCCTCACCGACGATGGGACCCTCATTCACTTTGCCCGGGCAAGCCAAAACATCGCCGCCGCGACGGCTTTACTTCATGGCCTTCCAGAGGCCACGACGTCCGAGGATCGCTGGGCCCACCGAGAAATCCGCACGTTGCTTGAACATGTGGCGGCGCAGCAGGCGGAGAGCTCGATGTCTCGGCGATGCGAACTCAACACCAGCCAGCGCACGCCTCCGATGCGTCCCGCCAAGGATGCGTCAGTCCACCAGACACCACCAGGCAGCAGGCGGCTCACTACTATCCCGGTGCATGAACGCCTCGGTCACAACGCGCGTGCAGCACCATCGACGCCCACAGACGCGCCTACAATGACTCGAGAGGAGACAGACGTGGCTACCACCCTCGACGCGACGGACGCTACGACAGCAGCGAGGACCAGAGCCTGAGCCCTAGCCTGCCGGGCCCCCAGGCCTTCGGTCGGCATGACCTCAACTCCGCTTTCCCACCAAGGTATCGACCGCCTACCAACATTCCAAAATATTCTAGGGAAACAAACCCCGGGCTTTGGCTCGAGGACTATCAGCTTGCCTGTCAAGCCGGTGGCGCGAATGATGATGATTTTATTATTCGCAATCTCCCACTATTCTTGGCCAATTCGGCACGAGCATGGTTGGAGCACCTACCGTCCAACGCCATTCAAAGTTGGGCGGATTTAAGGGAAATCTTTGTGGGCAACTTCCAGGGCACATACAAACGCCCCGGAAACCCATGGGACCTCAAGAACTGCTGCCAGACGGCCGACGAAACTCTCCGCGAGTACATCCGATGCTTCTCACGGTAATGCAACGAGCTCCCTAACGTCGCCGACGCTGACGTGATAGGAGCTTT